GCATCTGACCTTTCCTTAGTTTTTCGAGGCAGCCCCGACAAATCCATCCTGTTTTGCACTCTTCTTTCTTTATGTCTTTTATTCTTTTCCATATGTGTCCTACAATTTGATTTTTTAGGTTTTTCAAAAGGCTTACTTGCTGCTTACTAAACAACTTATCGCATGAGACACAGGGAAACACTGGGGTTTCAGAAGAACGCTTCTCCAATGCCTCAAATGCTTTTTGATATTTTTCGAACAACTGAGACTCAGATTCAGGGACCTTGCTTTCACTTGTGTCATCTGTAAGAAAGGCTTTTGTTTGCTCTTTAAATTCCCTTTCTATCGAAAACAACACGTTCACCTGCACGTTAAGAATACCATTTTTAATTAGCATAATCTTCTTAGTTATTTTCAACAGTCGGTAAATTTTGGAGACAAGACTACGAATTGCAGGAAAGTGAGGATAGATTGTTCTCAGAAAAGGAAGTTTCGAAACACATGCTCCTGAGTAACAGTCCAAAGAGTGAGGATGAACACCTACACGAGATGATACACCACTTTGACATGAGTGCTCTCCCATGCTGACAATAAGCTTAGAACCTTTAGTGAGAGAGCTGGCAACTATTTCATTGTAAAGAGATTTAAGTTGCTCTAAGTGGTCAGGCTCAATGAAGCACATATCTGAGTTGCATTTCCACTGTTTCTTTGGAGAACTATGAGCTGTGCTGGGCTCATTACCAACAGTTATTTGTTTACCAGGAAACACTCTATACGTAAACTCCCACAAATAAGGCTCCGACGTGGAAACATGAAGACTGTGCCCACACAACGCCTCAACATTGTCTTCAAACGTGCTTGTTGCAGATAGCTTAGCAAGAGACTCTTTAGCACGATTTTGCAGGCTAACAAATAGCTTAAGGAAATTGTTTTTGTAATTTTTATAAGCATGCAACACCCATTTCAAGAGCTCTTTAGCCCTTAGCAACCTTTTGGTATAACCTTGCTCAAGTATTTTCTTTGCTATAAGTCTGGCTATTTTCTCACAATTTATTTTCCCCAAGAAAATATGTGAAGCTGCAACAGTTTTTTTAATTTTCCTTTTTGCATTTTGTAATGATTTTCTTTTCCCATCAGATCTATTTCTAAAAAAAAAGCGTCTGCTTTGATAGGCTGCACACTTTCGCACCCTTTCGTGAAAAACCTTAAGTTTATATCGCAAGCGAAAGTGGCCAGGGTGTTTTGCACAAAGTACTTTGTAACGTCTCCTGCGATTAGATTGTTTCATTTCTTGTTTTGCACCGTAGTTTAAACGTTGTTTAGCTTTATAATATTCTGGATCAGTAGAGTATTTCTGACGCACTCTAGCCTTGTGTGGCTCAGGATTAGCAGAATACTGCTGACGCTTCCTAGTCTTGTGTGGCTCAGGATCAGTAGAATACTGCTGACGCTTCCTAGCCTTGTGTGGCTCAGGATCAGTAGAATACTGCTGACGCACTCTAGTCTTGTGTGGCTCAGGATCAGTAGAATACTGCTGACGCTTCCTAGCCTTGTGTGGCTCAGGATTAGCAGAATATTGCTGCCGCAACCTAGCTCTGTGAGGTTCAGGATTAGCACTGTACTGCACACTTTTTCTTAACCTCTCAGTTTCAATATTAGCTAGATAACGTTTTCTGGCTTTGGATTTTTCTCCTTTAACATGTTCAAGGTACCAAGCTTTAGAAGTAGAACTCTTATTAGTGGATTGTATGCTAGCTTCTTCTGTTTTTCTTTTTTTTATAGCAGGGGCGTTTTCTAAATACCATTCTTGTTTTCTTTTTCTTGCCAGTCTTTCTTTAGAAGGCATACTGATGTTAGATTAGAAAGAAAGTAAATGCAATTAAAACATGGACGTGGTATCTTACCAAATGATCCTAAGAAATGTTCTCAATCATCTCAATGTTCTTGAACTAGATCTCTTCACTAAACATAAACAATGCTGCTCTTTTTGTAAAAATAAACAAGACATCAAATTTTTTTTATTTACAGCTGGTAATTAAAAATGGTTATAAATAGTTTGGGTGAAATATATAGACCACGGCACAACTACATCTCATTTCATTTCAATAATATTGTTTGTGTAGAACTAAATTCTACATTTTTTGGTCTTATCTGCTATAAACCAATTAAAAACTTTTTGACACACCTACCAAAATTACTATTTAACAAAAATTGCTACGTTGGAAGTTTTTGAAAACATGTGTTAAACGTATAGTCAACAGGGTGGTTGTTTCTATTTATGATTTTGTCAAGAATATGTTTATTTTAAACTAAACACACACTTTGAAACTGTATAATCTAGTCATCATCCATTAATATAGGTTCTGTGTCTGGGGCTGTAAATTCAGCAATGTTCATCTTGAACAACATAAAATGCGTTGGTGTTACATAAGTGTTCTGATAATTAAACCCGTATATCTAAAGACTAGTGTAAATTGAGCCCTTATTATAGAAGTAAAAATGTAATCAAACAGTTTAGGTTTGTTGGAAATAGCATAAGGCAAAACGAATATTGAAAAACTAATTAATCCTATATTTACATTTTAATTGCTGGTTTAACATACGTAAAGTGACTTTCCCCATTCTTTTATTTGTTTTAGTGTATCAAAACATAAAACAAACCTTAGTACTAGTACTAAGTTTCAAGTTACTAGGTTTCATATGTTTTGATAAGTAGTATTAAACTGTTAAAAATGACGAACTGCTGTACCAGTGTACCATCGGTACACTGCATTTTTCAATGGAAAGTATCGGGGAATATCACTGCTCTAAGTAATTTTATATAGTAAGTAGTTCAAATCATTCGGTATACCTGAAAAAATACTTTATGAAAGTTTTAAAATAATTTTTCAGCTGTTCCTATGAATTTCTCTAACATTTAAATTAATTGAGATTTAATCGCAGCTGGTCCTTCTTTTGTTTTGATTTTAATCCCATGTTATTTAAATGGGCCAAAATCGTACTTTGAGGGCTTGCCAAGGGTTTATGGTTCAACTCACCGACTTGAGACCCTCAAAAGGCACATCTACACGTTAAGGGCTTTCAAACAACATAAAGAACATTAAAATTGAGCCAGTGGTTTGGGCTGTAGGTCCGTCAACATTCAAGGAGAAGGAGAAGGAGGAGAAGGAGAACACGGAAAATTTGTGAATTTTCAAACTAGTTTTTCTTGGCTCAAACACAACAGTTTTTTAAATTCTTTTTTTTATTTTGTTGAGGATGAGTGCCCCTATCCAATAGATGAACAATTATTTTAATAGCTTTTGTTTCTTCAGAGCTATAGACGAGTGAAAAAGCCACTTTGTCACGTCAAGTATATATACACTGCAGCAGCTGTGTACCGCTGGGGGACTTGGCGGGGCGGAACGCTGCCGCGTTCCTTAATACGCTAAGCCGATTTTTGTGAACAGAACTCCTCCCTCATTTTTGGACCGATTTTGATAATTAAAGTGTCAAAAAAATTGCCCTGATCTGTAGTTTTGCAAAGTGTTTTTCGTTTTTTGATATCTTTATTAGTTTGGACAGTATCTTCCATCAAAGTTGGGTTTTCTCCCATAAGATTAACATGGGGGAATCAAAATATTTAATTAGAAACTTTGTCTCCACTAATTTGAGAGAACGGCTGGGCGTAGAAACTTGGTAGAGGTGTCAAAAGAAAGGTCTTGGTCTGTAGACGAGTTATCAAAAGAAAAACGAAGTAAATTTGCTTAGGGCTCTGCCCCAGAAGCCTTTAAAGATCCCACCACAGAGTTGTTTACATTTTGGTCATGTGGATAATACTTTTTAATAAAACAGCTGTTAATTTTAAAATTGTATTTTAAATAACACACATTTATTGGGAGTTACTGAATTGGTCAAAAGAAGTGCAATGTGTTTGGCAATGTTATTTTGTGATTTTAAAATTGATTTTCTTCTGTATCATGTCATGTGTTGCAATATAAAGTTTCATTACAAAATCAGTGGAAAATCCTTTTATCACAATAACTCTTACAATTATTTCTTATTGAACTATCTCATACCTATTTTACGGGTTGGTGTCTGCCTTTTTTTTACAACTTTTCTTTATATATTATCATATTAATCTAGACAGATCATCATATAGGTTCATGAGATTATTGTCATACATGCTTTCAATCATTGGAAAACCTTTCGATTGTGTAATACAATACAAAATAATACAAGTGCAGAAAGGCAGGGTGCCCATTTGAGCCGTGTCCATATTTTGCTAAATTAATAGTGGTTTACAGCAACTGGATAAAACATTTTACAATATTTATGTAGACATATGTGAATGATTTAGAAAGTCATTAAGCTGGGAAACTGCAATATACTGCAGACTTTTCAGATATGTTACTTCGATGTATTCATTCAGCTTAGTAAAAACATAATATAGATATGTATACAAATAAGAACTTGAACTCTTAGAGAGCCTTTGAATGTTATTAGACTAACAAAAAGGGTTGTGCCTGTTTACTAGCGCTACTCAGCAACAAAAACAATTTAATTTATCTCTAAAATATATATTCTTAAAGTGCACTGAGCAGCAGCCTAAAAAATCTATGTAACTTACCCATATAATATAGTTACAAAATGCTCAAACTCGCATTGTGATCGCAATCAGAAAATTCATCTGCAGAAGAATTTTATTGTGCTCTTACCGTTTCTAATAACATCCAAACACAGAAACTTTGCCTAAAATGGTACCTGTCTTGACAAATTATTTGCAGTGGCCTCTGAACTGTCCACGGCTGAACTGTCCTCTCTTATTTAATTGAAGCAGTACAAAATGTTAAGTGGAAGAGTGTTTATTGCTTAATTTGGATAGGTTAAATGCCACTGGTTCCAAAAGTGTCCACATGCTTTAAAGTAATCTAGTGCTCCATGTGTGTGGATGCTTTGAAGAAGTTTGTTTTCCAGTTCTCGCTAAAATTTTAATGACATATTCCAGTAACTCTGCAAAACTTTAATCATTTGATTTACAGAAAGTGACAGGTGAATCTTTTGTCAAGCAGTCAGATTTGTTTGACTGCTCAGTGTACATCCCAGAGATTTGTGATGTAATCAACATAGCTTTGGCAGAACTGCCTGCGTTGTTGTCTGTACAAGATATGGCAGAAACTTTACTGAGAGTCAAGCATGGGCCTGAAATCATCTGCTGGATGGTGGCTAATTCTCCAGACACTTTTAATGAAGGTTAGTTGTTTGAAATAGTGTGTCATATTCCTTTATTCCTGTAATTTGTAAACCACAACTTTCAATTCTCAATATAATTAATTGACAAATGACAAATGACAATTCTTTATTGTTAATAATTCACACAATGTTATTTTTTATATCAACAAAAATGTCTGCTCCTGACTTGATAAGGGTTTAATTGTATTTTAACTTAACAAATTTATTTAATAAGACACATTCATACAATAAGGCACTTATAACTTATGATTGGTAAAAATACATATGATTTTACAATATATTCTACCGGTATTTATTGTTTTTAGTGACAACAAGCCTGATTACAAATGCTGACCCAAGAGATGAAGATAATGGTGGGAGCAGAGTACGAACCCAAGCACTCAACATGCTATGTCAGATGAATCCATCACAGGCTCTCGCAGTCAGAGCTAAATGTGTAAGTAAAAAGTCTTCATATGAAAAATAATGTTTGGTCGGATCAAACCAAAAAACTAACTATGGAGAATGATCATTTTGAATTTAACCCTTTCCGCTCGTATGTCGCGGTGGCCGCGACATCCATTATTGACGCTTCCACTTGAATGTCGCGGCTGCCGCGACATTGTTTTAAACGACTCTAAACTCACTTTATATAGTGCAGAAATGTTTAAAATGATAAGAAAGACTGATCAATGGTTTTCTCAATTTATTTTAGCTGCCCTTGGATCAAAGAAAACAACCACGAACGATTTAGTTGGCTTTGAAATAAGTTTGGTCGCCGTGGAAACCAAAAATTCCAAAAACTCAAATTTTAGAAATTTACATATTTTATTCATAATAATACAAGTAAATGTTTATGTAATTGATATTTTTTGTTTGTTTTTACATAAGGAATGTAAATAATATTTTTTCAATACTCTAAAAAAAAGTTTTATATTTTTATTTTGCCTAAATATATGGATTTTGTAAAAATTGATTTTGCTTTTGTTTATTTATGACCATACCAAAAATAAAATTTTAAAACTAAAATTGTAATTTTATGTTTATATTGTATAATAATTTATGCTGAATAAGAATCAATAGCTCAACCTTATTAAATAACTAATATTAGATAAAAAAAAACTAAAAACCAAAAACATGCCATTTTTCTTTAAATTAAATGCAAGTGTGAGGGAACAGCCATGCAAAATAATTCGAGTGGAAAGGGTTAAGGACAACTACTTGTTGTTCAGACACCTTAAGAAGTTAAGAGAAATCAATCATGTTTTAAATTCCATCTTTGAGTATTTTCCAGCTTACTTTACACTCAATTCACTTATCATTTATCACTTTGGTCTAAATTTATATGAAGAATTTCTTTAGTTTTAACTGTATACTATTTCAATTTACATTTTGAAATCAAATTCTATTTGACACATAAATTCTAGCCCAGAACTCATTGCAGATAGCTAAACTGAATAGGTTTCTACATACTTCATAAGTAGTAATATCAATAATACTTTGTAACATTATAATCATAAGTTTTTGAAAGACAAAGTTGCTTTGGAAGGTATTGTTTAGAAAAATATAAAATTGTTATATCAGAATAGGATTATGAAATATTGTACATTTACACTATCTCCTGCAACCCTAGTAAAATCGTTAAGGTCTCCTGCGATAACGGCAAAATTGTGAACATCACCCGCAGTCAAGGTGAACTCCTGAAAATTGTCTGCGGTCGTGGGAAAATTGGAAACCTCTCTCGTCGCCGTAATGAAGTTGGTAGCGTCCCCTGTGATCGCAGTGAAGTTGTGATTATCTTCTACGACCATGATGAAACATCATCATCTGCCGTTATTTCAGTGTAATAGTGGATTTTGATCGTGCAACCTTAACAGACACTTTCTGTAATTGCCAAACAATGTGTGTGTGCTGCAGCTTATCTTACACTGGTCCAATCTTTCTCCAGGCCTCTTCCTTGTACTGTGATAATTTCACACTGTCTCCCAGTGTTCTACTTTGAAATCAAATAAGATGTCTTAGCCTTTGTGTCAGGACTGTTGTTGTCAAGATGTAGTTAAAGGTAGAGTTGTTTGCAGGTAGAAATGTGTAGACTACCAGCCTTGGCTGTCAACTTGACCTTGGACCACGGCAGTTCCCGGGGTGGAGATGTTGTAGCCTTTGTGTCAGGACTGTTGTTGTCAATATGTAGTTAAAGGTAGAGTTGTTTGCAGGTAGAAATATGTAGACTACCAGCCTTGGCTGTCAACTTGACCTTGGACCACGGCAGTTCCCGGGGTGGAGATGTTGTAGCCTTTGTGTCAGGTCTGTTGTTGTCAAGGTGTAGTTAAAGGTAGAGTTGTTTGCAGGTAGAAATGTGTAGACTACCAGCCTTGGCTGTCAACTTGACCTTGGACCACGGCAGTTCCCGGGGTGGAGATGTTGTAGCCTTTGTGTCAGGTCTGTTGTTGTCAAGATGTAGTTAAAGGTAGAGTTGTTTGCAGGTAGAAATGTGTAGACTACCAGCCTTGGCTGTCAACTTGACCTTGGACCACGGCAGTTCCCGGGGTGGAGATGTTGTAGCCTTTGTGTCAGGTCTGTTGTTGTCAAGATGTAGTTAAAGGTAGAGTTGTTTGCAGGTAGAAATGTGTAGACTACCAGCCTTGGCTGTCAACTTGACCTTGGACCACGGCAGTTCCCGGGGTGGAGATGTTGTAGCCTTTGTGTCAGGTCTGTTGTTGTCAAGGTGTAGTTAAAGGTAGAGTTGTTTGCAGGTAGAAATGTGTAGACTACCAGCCTTGGCTGTCAACTTGACCTTGGACCACGGCAGTTCCCGGGGTGGAGATGTTGTAGCCTTTGTGTCAGGTCTGTTGTTGTCAAGATGTAGTTAAAGGTAGAGTTGTTTGCAGGTAGAAATGTGTAGACTACCAGCCTTGGCTGTCAACTTGACCTTGGACCACGGCAGTTCCCGGGGTGGAGATGTTGTAGCCTTTGTGTCAGGACTATTGTTGTCAATATGTAGTTAAAGGTAGAGTTGTTTGCAGGTAGAAATGTGTAGACTACCAGCCTTGGCTGTCAACTTGACCTTGGACCACGGCAGTTCCCGGGGTGGAGATGTTGTAGCCTTTGTGTCGGGTCTGCTGCTAGGAAATGACCAACACATCCGCAATTGGTTTGCCTCCTTTGTACGCAGCAGGCAAAAGGTAAGTTTACTCTAAAGTATGGGTGTAGCTTGCGAGCTTCGAGCTTTGTAGAGTTTTTATAGTGATGTAACATGGGAGATTGCTTTAAAATAAAGCTTCCCAAAATGATAAGATGGGTACTGTATGGTATGCACAAATTAATTTTAAATAAAGCTTACAGTTTAAAAATGGGTTTTAATACTTAAATTCGCATAGCTTTGACATTTTTCGAATTGCAAAAAGACCGGAGGTTATTTGACTTAAAACAAGTTTGCAATGTTTGTGCCATGAGAAGTTACTGCCCAAAGATATCTCTGGAAGTCTGTTAGCTAGAGGAAGACAAATTATAGGTCTGTCCTTCACAACATCGATAAAATAAGAATTGAATAAATTATTAATTTCAAGAGGATCTATAACTAAATATTTCCATTTACTATAGATATGTTATCAGTGCTATTAGTTGAATTCTTTGTGATTTTTGAGTTTATTATATCCCAAGTAGTTTAATTATTTTTTTTTATTTCTTAATCTTGCTATTATAAAATCATTTTATACTTCAATTAGGTTTTTCCAAACATTTTTTTTCTTATCTGCATCCGTGGGAGATGTACAAACTAGATGGTACACCCCTACTACGTAATGGGCACAACCAACACCTACCAATGCCATTACACAACCATCATCAACTGTACCTAGAGGTGAAATAGTTATGACTGAAAATCCTTGTTATTTAAGTCCACATAATGTATCTGACTCAATCTCTCACCAAAACACCACGATAGTCGACCACCATCAATCCCCCGACTTCTAAAACCCAGATTCATCAATGCAGACCAGTTCCCTGAGATCCAAGAGGAATAAGAAACGTTCCGTTCTACTTAAGATTATTTCTAGGCAAACCTTCAAGCATGGGAGATTGTAGGATTTCCATATTTCTGTCTTATAGTCACCTGCTTCAGTTATAATTAATATTGTTTACATTAGTTTGTTATGGTTTCTAAGTTAATTGCAATTGTGAATAAAAGAACTACATGAAAAATATTCTTTTATTTAACACTGACACATCAAAGATACTGGGTTAATTTTATCAGAATAGTTGAGTTTACCCCTAGTATAACTGTGGTTGAAATGAACCAGAGTGACTTTCTTGATTTCAATGCACTTCTTTCCAGAGAGTATGTACATCGTAAAAACAATACAGATGATGAACCTGTGCGTTGGGGTTCAATAAAATGGCTCAGATATGCTACCTCAGAAACTTGTATTTGCCGGATTTAGCATTTTGGTGCCCCTAGGCCCAATGATTTTTCCGCCTCCTAATCTGGTTAAAGTTAATTTCCTACAAACCTTTCGTAAAAAGTCTTTTAGTGTGTCCATTAGAATCAATCAACCATGTGTTCCTACCTAACTGTCTAAGTATGGTTCCTATTTTCCATTTTACTTTCCCTTCAACAAAAGTACGAATGTACACTTTACTCCCAATAGAAAAGCCTCTGGTTTTCTTATATCGCAGCACTTCAGAAGGTTCATCTCTTTAGTTTATCTCTTGTGAAGGTTTGATAAAATCTAATTTAGTTCGCAGATTACGACCCAAGAACAAAAATGCAGGTGTTTGTCCAGTTGTAGTGTGAGGTGTAGCTCGATAGCGAAATAAATATGTCCTCAAGTTGCCTGTGAACAAGCTAGGCTCTTTATTGTACTGTAATTTGTTCATAGCTCTTTTAAAGGTATCTACATTTTTCTCCACTTGTCCATTTGAACTTGGGTGAGCTACTGGAGTCGTAATATGTTTGATATTATTACGCAAGCAGAAATCTTTAAAACCTTGCGAAGTAAATGAAGTTCCGTTGCCTGAGACGATTGTTCTAGGTATTCCATATTTACACAACAAATTCTTGAGCGCTTCTACTGTCTTTTCTGTGGTAATAGAAGACTGTGGTACTATTTCTGGCCATTTAGAGAAAGCGTCAATTACTAAGAGAAACATTTGTCCGTAAAATGGTCCAGCTAAATCTAAATGGATTCGACTCCAAGGTTCACTTTCTTTAGGCCAGTTGAATAGATGTTTTTTACTTGGTAATCTTTTGCAAACAAGTTACATTCACGGCAACGGTGACAAGTCTGTTCAATTAGAGCATCCATACCTGGCCACCACACATGACCCCGAGCCTCTGACTTCATTCTGACCATACCATTGTGAGATTCATGCAAGTAGTTCATGATGTAAGTTCGGTATTTAGGTGGAATAACAGTTCTTATTCCCCACAGAAGACAGTTATTATGTAGAGTCAGTGCATCTTTCTTAGAAAAATAAGGCTTCAAGTTCTCATCTGGACACTTATTAGGCCAACCAACTTTTACATAGTGCATCACCTTCTTCAAAACAGGGTCCTTAACCGACTCCTCAGCAATTTCAGTACAAGTAATAGGAATCTCGGACTGCACTTCTGTTTGAATTGTCGCTACTATTGTATGGTGTCCGAGTCCCTCATCATTGGAATCAAAAGAATTAGGTTGAAATGACGGTAATCTACTCAAACCATCGACTTTGCCAAAATTTTTTGTAGATATGTATTCAATGTCATACGTATAGTTAGACAGTATTAGTGCCCAACGCTGAAGTCTATTGGCAGTTGTGGTAGGTACCCCTTTGTTAGATCCAAAAATTGTAAGCAAGGGTCTGTGGTCGGTCTGTAAAATGAAGTGTTTTCCCAGTAGATATGGGCGAAATTTCTTTATCGCAAAAATGATGGCCAGCCCTTCTCTTTCTATTTGAGAATAGTTCGCTTCAGTGGAAGTCAATGTTTTTGAAGCATATGCAATAGGCTTTTCAGAGTTGTCAGAAAATCTATGAAAAATTGCAGCACCGATTCCTACAGCTGATGCATCTGCAGCAAGAATGATGGGTAACTCTGGATTGTGATGTGTTAGTATAGGTGCATTCATTAACAAGTCTTTTAATTTGTTGAAACTGCGTTTACATTGATCAGTCCACAACCAGTCTACTCCTTTCTTCCGCAGTTCATTTAAAGGATAACAAACTTTTGAAAATTCTGGCATGAATTTGGAGTATGTAACCATCCCTAAAAATGCCTCCAACTCTTTGACATTTGATGGCTGTGGCATATCTACAATGCCTTGAACTTTAGAATCCGAAACTTGTATGCCATTTTTAGTTATGACAAACCCAAGATATGTCACTGTTTCCTGCATAAACTTGCATTTATCTTTGTTCAATTGGAATCCAAACTCTTTAATTTTATTGAAAGTATTCTCTAGATTTTTGTAGTGTTCTTCATCATTGTGCCCTGTAACAATTATATCATCTAGATAGTTTGCTACGCCTGGCAACCCATTCAACATGTTGTGCATAACTTTAGAAAATATAGCTGGAGCGGATGCGATTCCAAAACAAAGTCGCTTTTATCTGTAAAGTCCTTTGATGGTATTAATCACTAGTAAGTCTTGCGAATCTCTATCTACTGGTATTGACAAGTAGGCATCAGATAAATCTATGACTGAGAATTTTTCTCCTCCATTCAACTTAGCAAATATTTCCTCAGGTGTAGGTAGAGGAAATTTCTGAATCTTTAAAGCAATTCTTATTTGACCAGAAGGTTTTTTAACAACTACACAAGGTGCAGCCCAATCAGAATAGTCAATTGGTTCTATCAGATCAGCTTCTACAAGCCTGTCGATTTCCTCGCACACTTTGACCTTTATTGCAAATGGAACTGGCCTTGCCTTCTTGTAAATAGGAGAAGCGTCTTCCTTTAAAATTAAGTGTGCCGTGAATTTTGTACAATGGCCACTTTTGTTACAAAAGAGTTCCTTATTAGAATCAATTAGTTTACTTAAGCTCATTCTTGGAAGTGAACTTTAAAACCCTGACCTTGAAATGTCATCAACTTCCTTGGAAACCCATAAAGAATCACTTTGTAATGAATTAAGTGGCAATTCGTTGATTTTAAGCTCCTTGATCCTAGTCTCTAAGTCTAAGTCGATCTAAGTCTCTACCTAAAAGATCCTGAGTGCCACCTTCAGCAACGTACAGCTTTAGCTCTCTTTTAGTTTTCCTGAATGCCACTTTAACTGTTTGTTCACCAATCAAGTTTATGCAATGGCCACTATAAGATGTCAGTTTTGTATTTGAATGTAACAAAGGAAATTTTCCCAATCTTTCCCAAGTTCGTTGACATATAACAGAAACACAACTTCCTGTATCTAGTTGCATATTAATTAAAATACTATTGATACAGATAGAAACCCAAATTGGAAAAAATACACTGACGTTATGACACTGAAGACCAAGAGAAAAAATAGCTTCATTTGTCAACTTAGGTGAACAATCAAGTGTGTTAAGAGTCGATAAAGGTCCTAGAATCTCTTCCTTTTTCATTGTCAGTGAAATTTACTTGTCGGTTGTACGTTCCTTTTCCATGTCCACCTATTTTTCGTTTTGAAAATCTGTTCTCCTTTTAATTTTGCAAACTTTTGCTAAGTGACCTTTTGTATCACAATTATTACATATTGCATTTCTAAATCTACATTGGTTCCTAAAATGGTTACCACCACAAGAATAGCATAAATAGTTTGAATTTGTATTTAGAACCTCTCCATTGCTCTCATTATCGGAAAATGAAATCAGATTTTTCTTTGCTGAAGTGGTAAAAACTGAACTTAATGTTCTAGCAAATTCAAGTACAGTATTGAAATCTGTGTAATCTTTCTGAAGTAAATTAGCTCTAATAGAATCTTCATTAATACCCATTATGAAGGATGTAATGAGAGCATCTTGATAAAAGTCACCAGGGATATCACAACTGCTGGCTAATTCTTTTAAGATACTTGCAAAGGTGGACAAAGATTCAACACCTTGCTTCAGTGAAAAGAATTTTACTCTTTCGGCAACTTTAAACTTTACTGGTTTGAAATGTTTTACCAGAAGTTCATAAAGTTGTTCATAAGTGAATTCATTTCTTTTGGCTTGCAAATAGTTACCAATGTTTTAAGAACTGTAC